TGGAGGAGCGGCAGCTTGCTGCTGAAGTGACGACGATGCTGTGGTCACCGAAAATGGATCTTTTGGCAATTAGTAATGTGAAAGGTCAGTCTCTGAAAGCCGGCGTTTTAAAAAATGTGCCTGTTCAACATTAGGTAAAGTTAACTTTATCTTTCTTTTCTCTCTTTCTAGTTCTCTAGAAAAAGATCAGAAAATCAAACTTTCCAATTTGCATTAACACACACATTTACAAAAAGAAAAAAATGTCTTAGAACTTACTCAACAATTATTATCTTTAGCATGAAATATTCCAGGTGAAGTCGTCCTTCATAGGCTCACCTGGCAAAGAGTCTGGTTGTTGAGCCCTCAGGATGAATCTGATACAGTTGTCCATCTGGCATGGAGGCCCGATGGCAAGCTTCTCGCAGTATGCTATGAGATATCCAAACTATTCTGTCTCATTGATGTTGAAACTAAAAACATTATTCACAAAACTAAATTGCCAACAAACGAATCAATTGTCTGTGTTAAATGGTTGTCGCTGTCAGAATATGAAAATCAATTAGTGAATGATAAAACTAATGAACCTACAGGCGATTATCTGCCACCTCTGCCCAGTTTAATCAGAAGTTACAGCGCAGAGCCTGAACGCAAAGAATTTTTGTCTCACATTCTAGATATGCTCTTTGTATGTATCGTAAGACATAATACTACAGGATGTTTATGATTATATATATTTGAATAATAGTCACATACACATTTTCTTGCAGATCGGCCAGAAAAATGGCACAGTCTTAATGTACATTTTTGGTATGTTTTATTGTGGTATCATAAATATAGGCCATGGACCGATTGTACAAATTATAGGTGGATGTGGTGACCCAATATGGATTACGTGGAGAGACAATAATTGTATTAAAACAACTAGAGTATCCTGTTCCCTACTTGAGAAGAGCATAACATTTCTCAAGGTTTGTGGAATATAATGCACTTTATAATCACATTTATAACAAAAGTATTAGTGCAAAGAGTACTATTTCTCAAAGTATTATGTACAATAATTTGAAATGATGTTAAGAAGAGACATAGAATTATCAGAATATTATACATTTTATTCTCAGGTTGCACAAATTCAAGCTAATGTAGAATGTTTGAAAGACTATCTCTCACGTACTTTAATGGCCACTTGCGAAGCTTGGGAGACAATACTTTTGGAAATGGATGAAAAACTCACGCGATATGCGGAATCGAATCCACCTGGTAGTATGGCCGCAGACTTCTTAGAACTGTTAATGATCGGAATACCTACAAAGAATTTAGAACATTTTCTACTTCGGGATCTTACAGAGAAAGGGTTGAAAAAATTTGGGCATAGTATTGAGATGTGTTACAGTAATATACAGGTATTTATAGAAAATAGAATGTCATCTCTTTTAATTTAAATGCTGTGTATCGCGTTCCAGTTTTAAATGTTAAAATGACGATTATGTCTTTGCAGAAATTGGTCTCAAAAAATTTAACTAGCGTCGGTATGGCCTTAGTTTATCAGTTAGCCGAATTAAGAGGCATGGTAAGAGTAGGTGGCACGTACGAAGCGCTAGGGTTGCGCGACGAAACGCTCGTGACTAATGCCATTAATGAATCCGAGGCTTTCCTGGCAAAGTCATATGAAATTGAGCAAGTTATAGATCAGAGTATGCGCAATTACAAAGCATTTTTCCGGTATGATGTACGAATTACAAATCGAGTGATTAGTTAATTTAGTGTTGTTTATATTTAATTATTTTAATCGTTCTCGTTGCATTTATAGATGGTTGTACGTAGCTATTCTCCAATTAACAGATGAAAAAGCACCATCGGAAGTGAGCCGCGTAAGTCAGCAG